CTCCTCTCCTCTCCTCTCCTCTCCTCAAAACCTGTTCTCTCTGCTGCCTCTTATTTTAGCTCAAGATGCCAGCAGTGTCCCCATGACTCAAGCTGGAGCCTTGTAAGTCATTCTTCCTCTCACTCCCTGGGCCATGGCCTTTCATCGCCTGGCTCACGCCTCCTCAAATTCAGGGCCCAGCTTGAGTGTGACCTTGTCTTCAAAGGGCAGTGGCTGCGTCATCTCTCTCCTTGGCTCCTGAGCCACTTGTCCATGTCTCTGGGAGAGCCCTCCTGTCTTCTGCTCCAATCGCATTCACATATCAATCTCTCCTGCAAACGGGAGGACTCAAGGGCAGGGACTGCACCTCATTCATTTTACCATCCTCATGGCTTCCTGCTGGAGATTGCGTGTCAGTGGAGTGAACTGGTTCTCAGGGGGCAGTCGCGCATCCCGAGTGGGAGTCAGCTGACTCTTAGCTGAAGGCCACGGCCTGGACTGAGCTCAGGTCCCAGGGACAGACGCGGGAGAGCTCAGCAGGCTCAGGCTTCCCGCCACAAATCCTTTCCTCTCGCTCCCCTTCCCTCCACATTTTCTATAAACATCCCAAGACTGCAAGTTACCACTGAGGCTTATAAAAGATGCGTTTCTCTTCCCTTCTCTTAGGGTTAAGCAACATCATTGGCATCATAGTTTACATATCGGCCAATGCTGGGGACCCCGGGCAGCGCGACTCCAAGAAGAGCTACTCGTACGGCTGGTCCTTCTACTTCGGAGCCTTCTCCTTCATCATCGCCGAGATCGTGGGGGTGGTCGCCGTGCACATCTACATAGAGAAGCACCAGCAGCTGCGTGCCAGGTCCCACTCGGAGCTCCTGAAGAAATCGACTTTCGCTCGCCTGCCACCCTACAGGTACAGGTTCCGGCGGCGGTCCAGCTCCCGCTCCACGGAGCCCAGGTCCCGAGACCTGTCCCCCATCAGCAAAGGCTTCCACACCATCCCCTCCACCGACATCTCCATGTTCACCCTCTCCCGGGACCCCTCAAAGATCACCATGGGGACCCTCCTTAACTCCGACCGGGACCACGCTTTTCTACAGTTCCACAACTCCACGCCCAAAGACTTCAAGGAGGCGCTGCACAACGACCTGGCCAACAGGCGCACCACGCCGGTCTGACTGCCTCTCGCCCTCCGCCAGGCAGCCGGGCGGGGAGGGGGGTGCACAGGTGTCGCTGAGGTTGCATGGCATGGTCCTCGTGATGGTATTATTTTTTACAAAGAATGAAACCAAATGGATCGGCCCTGTCCCACCCTCTGCCCCTCACCCTCCAGGCCCTAACCCCCTGCTCCCCCCGATCTCCAAGCCCATCCCGACGCGTCCTCTCTGTGTATCTGTGCTGAGTGTCTCCCTTCTTCCTTCTTCCCTGGAAGGACCTCCACCTTCCTCCCTCCTGGGAATAGGATTTCACTGAGTCACAGGTGGTGGCTTGGGGGAATCCCCGCATACCCAGGCGTGTGCACAGCTGTCCCGATTGTCCCCTCACACAGATCCTCAGGACACCAACCACCCAGTGGCCCTGGGGAGGCATTCACCTTTCCGTGTTAGAGAAACATGACCAGAAATCAAAGCTGCGGAGCCCCGGAGCAGCTCCTGTAATAAGCACTCATGTGATTAAAGGTTCTGCGTGACCAAGGTGTTGTTGCTTCCAGTCCTCCCTGCGAAGCTGGCTGCCCTGCTGAGCTGGAGGCCCAGCTCTGCTCAGCTGCACGCTGGCCGGCAGGACGATCCCTTCGCCTCCTGAGGCAGCGAGGCACTCCCACCAATGTAAGAGTCAGTGTTCCCCCCACCTGGACCCCAGTGCCAGCATGTGGTCTGAAGCCTGGCTCTCAGACCCAATAAGCACTCATGTGATTAAAGGTTCTGCGTGACCAAGGTGTTGTTGCTTCCAGTCCTCCCTGCGAAGCTGGCTGCCCTGCTGAGCTGGAGGCCCAGCTCTGCTCAGCTGCACGCTGGCTGGCAGGACGATCCCTTTGCCTCCTGAGGCAGCGAGGCGCTCCCACCAATGTAAGAGTCAGTGTCCCCCCCACCTGGATCCCAGTGCCAGCATGTGGTCTGAAGCCTGGCTCTCGGACCTAGTAGCTCTAGGATCTTGGGCAAGTCCACCTACACTTCAAGCCTCAGTCTCCTCATCTGAAAAATGGAGCATGGTTTAGTGCTGTTCTCCATGGGGTTGTGAGGCTTAAATAAAACACCACAGGTAGAGTGACTAGCACATTGTAAATTATACATGTGTGTACATATGTAATTTTTGGATGGATTTGGGAGAGAATGAGCATGGCATTAGCCTGCTCAGGCGCCGTAACAGAGCCCCATAGGCTGTGTGGCTCTAACAGCAGTTACTCCTCACAGTTCTGGAGCTGCATGGTCAAGAGCAGGCGCAGCCAATTGGGTTCTTGATGAGGGCTCTTTTCCTGGCTTGCAGCCGGCTACCTTCTCTCAGATGGCAGAGAGAGGGTGAGTTCGAACTCTTTCTCTCCCTTCTTCCTTTTACAAAGCCACTAATCCCATCACCAGGGCCACACCCTCATGACCTCATCTGACCCTAACCCTCCCCAAAGCCCCACCTCCAAATATCCTCACCTTGGGGTGAAGGCTTCAGCACGGTGAAGTTAGGGGTGGGGCACCATCCAGTCCATGGCCAATGGGGCTGTTCCCTATTGCAGGGAGGGGAGTGCTTGCACAGGCTCAGAGGGTGCTGGGGGAGAAAGTGGAAGGACTTTTGAATATTTTGAATATTTGCAGTCACCTCCACCGATACTGACTTTCTGGAGTTTGAGGCACACCCCAGCACTCTCCCTTCCAAGAGCTTTCCTGCTCCGCCCCAGTCTCTCAGGGGCGGAGCTACAGTCCCAGAGCTCACACTTCCCTGATGCTGTGTGCCAGGCTGTGTCCCAGCACTGCACACATACCCCACCGTTTCACCCTCCCGGCAGTGTCCCCGCTTACCCAGAGGAAGCTGAGGCGGAGAGGTGACCGGCTGCCCAGACTGCACTGCCACGGTGGGACAAGAGACCTGAAACTAGTCACGTGTCCACACTCACACAGCGAACTTGGTTGTCAGGCACAGATAGCAACAGTCCATGTTAACACTCCAGAGTCCCTGTGTTCAACCTGCACTCGCACCCATCAGGTGACCTCACTGACCCTGAAAACAACCGTGTGTAGTGGGAATCATCACCCACTTCGGCAGGTGAGGAAGGAGAGGCTCAGCACAGCACGCGTCTTAGGAGCCAGCGAGCAGGGCCAGCGTTTCCATCCGAGCCTCCGCTCTAACTTGACTGATCTCCTCCGAACCTCAGTTACTGAGGGAGTGAAACCCCCGTGAAGTTTCATGTCCACACACCACATCGACGATCACTTACCTAATGTTTCTCTGGAAATTGGCTCAGTTTCTACTTCAGTTCTTGAAACTGAGCTTTATAGAACTACTCTCAAAAGGTAATTGCCAGTAGAAATAGTAACTGGGAAAGTAAATACAATGGAACACCACAATCACACCATATTCTAGCTGCAGGCTGTTCTGCTCTTTGTGAAAAGGTATAGCCCAGGTGTTAGAAAGATGCTGAAGGTATTCTCACACCAGAGAAGAGCTTCCCTTGGCTGGACCAGCAGGATCAGAGGAGGCCTGGAAAGGGGGTCGCTTTCTCTCTAGGGGTCTGCTGCTCTCTAACAGCTGGCCACGTCACATCAGGGATCTCATCCCGCCCGCACTTTGGGAAAAGTGGCTGAGGCCCTGTGAGGAGGGAAGGATCTTAGCGATGCATTGAGTAGCTGATGAATACTGTGGGGTGGGAAAGGCAACTCGCAGCCCTGGGAACTAGAAGTTTGTCAAAAACAGGGCATCTGGGGAGTTGGTCAGAGATGGAGAGAAAGATCCCAGGGTACGGAGATGCCTGCTCTGGAGACTGAGGTACGAAGCCCGCTTGCAAAGTCCAGAGATGGGAGTGGGAGGGGGAGAGAAGGAGGCCCTGAGCCCTGGAAGGACCCTCACACGCACAGCTGCTAACCCTGGTCTTTGCAAGGCTTTGGCACATGGCCTCAGAGTGCCTTCGATTAAAAAGTCCTCATCTAGACACAGCTGGTAGCATCAAATCCTATATAATAAAAGCCTAATATGCTAAGTGTCTGGTCATCCGGTCAGCCATTCAACCAATCAAAGCGTAATATACTAATGATATGCTAAGGCCGCTCAACCACTCACTATGACGTGCACTGACCACCAGGGGGCAGATGCTCCGACCAGTAGGTTAGCTTGCTGCTGGGATCTGGCCAATCGGGACTGAGTGAGATGGGCCAGACATGCCCTAGAGCCCTCCCGCGGTCCCTCCCTGGCTGGCCAACCTCCCATGTCCCTCCCCAGCCCCAATCGTGCACCAGTGGGGTCCTTCAGCCTGGCCTGCACCCTCTCGCAATCTGGGACCCCTCGGGGGATGTCAGAGAGCTGGTTTCGGCCCGATGGCGGAATGACTGGTCACTATGATGCACACTGACCACCAGGGGGCAGATGCTCAATGCAGGAGCTGCCCCCTGGTAGTCAGTGCACTCCCAAAGGGGGAGCACCACTTAGCCAGAAGCCGGGCTCACGGCTTTGTGAGTGCAGTGGAGGTGGCAGGAGCCTCTCCTGCCTCTGAGGCAGCGCTAAGGATGTCCGACTGTCAGACATCCACCGAAGGCTCCCAAACTTCGAGAGGGCACAGGCTGGGCCAAGGGACCCACCCCCACTGAGTGCACGAATTTCGTGCAGCGGGCCTCTAGAGATATTAATATTAACACTC